ACACGTAAGAGTGACCTTTTAAAACAGGGCTAGGATCGGGATAAATCGCTCCAGAGCGTTCCGGAGCGCTCTCAGAGCGTTCTGGAACGCTCTGGAGCGGCCGCGGCGCCCAATACATCCTCCAAACCCGCCGATTCTCAGAGATTTCGAGTTATCCCGATCCGATTTTGTCCCGATCTTCGCGTCGTTTTAAGACCTCTCGGCTACACGCAAGAGTGACCATAGGCAAGAGCGACCTTTCGCGCGCGGATGAAGGGGGGGCGCGCTGCGCGGCTCAACGGGGGACGCGGGGCGGCCAGGTCCCTTTGGGTGTCCTTTGGGTGTCCTCGCTGCGAGAAGCGCACGACGTCGGTGGTATGGGTCCGAGGCTCGAGGGTTCTAGGCGGCTATCCCAAAGGCGACCTGGGCCTTCCTATGCGGCGCAAGTCCGAGAGAGGTCGCACACGCCGACAGCCAGGAGGGCGCATGTGGCCTTCTTGTCTGCACGGCTGTGAGCTGGGCCCCCCAGATGGGGTCCGAGCAGATGGGGTCGGAGGATCGCGCCGCATCGCCAATGCGGCTCGCTGCGGAGCCCGATGTTCTCCACGCCGATGGCGCCGAAGCCCCGCCGATGCACCACCAATGCACAGCCGATATTATCGTCGATGCATTGGCGATATGATCGGCGATGCATTGGCGATGCAGCGCTATAGACCGACTCCATCTACAGTCGGGTCGCTGAATAAGGACCCATCTCGTGGGGGAGGGGCTCAGTGCTCCTTGATGGCTTTGTCATTGTTGTTCTCTGGTTTTCCGCAGGTGCTCCATGGACAATCGACGAACAGTAATGGGTTTCGCTCCTTGTTTAAAGTTCTTGTTACAGCGTTTTGAGTATACAGACAACCCGCATAGTAAGGATGGACAACCTTCTCAAGGGCACCCTTGCATCCATGCCTCCTCGGTCCATCCTTCGACGCTTTCGCTGGCCGCGCCCCACTCGCAAAGCTTCGAAATGGGCGTCCAAGGCCCTTGCATCCTTATCGCGCATCCTTACTATACTGGTTGACTGTACTCGGGCCCAATTTTGGGAGGCCTCTACAGTAGGATCTCGCTCCGCCGCACTCGGGGGGCACGGAACAAAAAGCCTTTGGCAAGTCCCCCCCGCCCTTCGCCCCTCGTCCGCGAGACTCTTGGATCGAGGGTCAAGTTTCTTGAGGACGGTTTCCGCCCTTCTCGACTGGACTCGCTTTCCAGACCTCCAACGCCTTGGGGCACTCAGGGCGGACCTTGGTTCGCCGATTTCATCGTCTGGGGGCCGGCTCCCCCGCCACGCAGGACAACAGATGTCAGGTCAGGCCTGCGTGCCCGCGAAGGGCGGGCCATTTTGGGCGCAGGCGGGGAACAGTTACAATTACACCGCCTGCGTGCCAGCTCCAGCGGGAGCCGTCTCGCGAATCTCTAGGAGTGCACCGGAAAATCTGAAAGGAGCCTAACAGTCGGCCACACACAGACGCAAACACCGGTCAGGTGAAGCGGAAAAGAAGAAGAGCTTCTGAGTTTCGGCCATTTTCTCGCGTGTCGCGAAGGCAGCGGCGGGTGAAAGTAGGAGCTCAGCGGGCAGGGCAACAACATTACATGTGTAAACATATACATACATACATACATACGTACATACATACATACATACATACATACATGCATACATACATACATACATACATATATAAATAATAAAGTATGTATCTGTGTATTTAGATATATAGGTGTATATTTAATGTGTATATTTATTTAGGTCTATATGTTATGTGTATATCAACATATGTTTATATATATGGGTGTATATATATATATATATATATATAAGCGGCCGTTGGAACAGGGGCCGAGAGGTCCAGGGGACAATGCCTCGAGCGGATCCAGCCGCCAGATGCGTGGGCCCCGCCCCTTCAGTGGCTTCCCGAGGTGCGGGCACGCAGGCGCGAGGGCCCGGGCGGGGTCGACCTGGACTGTGCTCGGGCGACCTCGTGGGCCGTCTTCGTTTCGGCCTCGCCCTTCGCAGCGAGGGCGGATTGAGGACAAATGGAGGGAAACGAAAAGAACACGCTATGTTTTGATTCGCGGGTCGAGGGCGAGCCTCTTCTGGTCGAAGCGAAGCGGGCCGCGCACAGCTTCAATTAACACAGAGGGGGGGACAGAAGGAGAGGCCTCACGTCAAGGCCAAGAGAGGGCAACGCCCAGGAATCAGGCGGTGCCGAAGACGAGGCGCTTGCAAAGGAACGCCTTTTACAGGAGCCTGGCGGCGAAGTACCAAAACGAGAAGACCACGAAAACGCAAAACACTGTTTGGGTCGATCTCTGGCGAGACCGGAGGCTCGAGGGTCGGGGCTCCTGGTGCTCTTGGTGCTCTTGGTGCTCTGTGGGCCTCGGGGGACCTTCGGGGGTCACCCCAACGGCCGCCGGCGCCGCGCAGAACTCACTTGGGGTCCCCCGCCAGGCCACTTCGGGCAATGGCGCAATCGAGATGCGAACCGGGATTAGAAGAAGCTGCAGCGTGAGGTAGAGGTGGAGGAAGGGGGATGACAAGCTAGGTTGGCTCGCTTCATATCTGTCGTCGTACCCCTCCCTCCCAACCCTTACCATCGCGCAGATCTCCTCTTCATGCGCACAGTATGAGGTCGAGCAAGGCAATGATCCCGAGAGGGTTTACGATGCATGGTAAAGCACGGCGTAGCATGGTGTAGAAGAGCGCGGCAGAGCAGAGCATGCCATATCATGGCTTGGCATTGCGTGGTGCTTCATTGCATCACAAACCGTAACACATTGCAAAGGATGGCATCGCACAGCGGAGCACAACGCAACATCGCATTGCATGCCATGTCATGGCAGCTGATGCCTTGGAGGGTAACTGGCCCGCGTACGAAAGGAGAAGGCCTGTTCGGAATCCTGGCTCCATGTCCTGCGCAACCGTGCCTGTCCGATGTGGGCGCTTTCGAATGCCAAGTGCCGTCTGGTAGGGGTACTGTATTAGTGTAAGGCCCCCCTGCTTTCGACACGCTGCCTTGCGATCCCCGAGCCCCCTTCCAAGCCTCCCTGGGTTCCCCGGGCAGCTCTGCACGAGGCGTGGCGGATGACTCGAAGCCTTCCGGAAACTCCATGGAGCGCGCAGAAATTGCCGACGGCGACAACGACGCAGACGATGGCGGCGGCGGCGGGGAAAGCTGCGGCGGGCGAGGGCGGATGTCAGGGAATAGTACGGCGGGCCCACGAGTTGCACATCAGGCACAACTGAACGAAAGTTAGAACCTGGAGGAACGTAGACATGGAGAGGGAGAGGAAAAACAAAAAGTCACAAGAGAACATTGGGCCCGATGGTCTGCCAGGCTCGATGGCCTGGCTTCATTGAACAATCGGCTCCCACTGGGCCTCTGGACCCCGCACGGGGTCCAGTCGGATCGGCGTCTTCCCGCCGGATCGTTTCTCGAGGTCCCCGGGGGCCCGTCGGCAACACGCGGACGCGAGAGAAAAATCGACGACGAAGAGGACGACCACGCAGCGACGACGGCGACGACGGCGACGACGACGACGACGACAGCGATCGAGCCCAGAGCGTAGCATGCCATAGCATTGCAGAGCGTAGCATGTCATAGCATGGCGTGGAAGATCACTGCAGAGCGTAGCATGTCATAGCATGGCCTGGCACTGCGTAGTGAAATACTGCATCACCGGAAACATGTTGTAGATTTTTGGCCCAATTTGGAATGACTGGAAACGCCTGCGCTGCAGCGGCAGCACGATTTGGAACGACCGCAGGCGCACGACTCGGAACGAGCGGGAGCGCGGAAGTGAGGACGCGCAGCCTGACATAACATGGTTTGGCGACGCCCCAAAGGGGGGGGGGGCTTCTGCGGCCCAGAAAACCAACGAATCGGCACCGAATGTGCAATCACTTTCGACTGTGTTTTTTTCGGGGGGGGGGCATTTTTTTAGATTTGGGGGCCCATTTAGAATACCGAAAACCATGCCGTGGCATGGCGCTGGAAATCATGACGCCAGCGATGCAGCGGGGGCACGATTCGGAACGAGCGATAGCGCAGAATTGAGGCCAGCGATGCAGCGGGAGCACGATTTGGAGGACGCGTAGCCTGACATAGCCTGGCGTGGCGACGCCCCGAAGTGGGGGCTCTTGCGACCCAGAGATCAACAGATCGACACCGAATGTGTAATCAAGTCCGAATTTTGTTTCGGGAAACAACTTTTGAGATTTTGGGGCCAATTTGGAAGGACCGAAAAGCATGCCGTGGCATGGGGCTGGAAACAATGACGCCAGCGCTGCAGCGGGAGCACGATTCGGAACGAGCGGAAACGCGGAAATAAGGCCAGCGCTTCAGCGGGAGCACGATTGGGAACGAGCGGTAAACCGAAAATGAAGCCAGCGGTTCAGAGAGAGCAGCATTTTGACAAAACAACCAACCGAAAACCCGTCTCTCGGGAATCCTGTGTGTATTTAACTAGTGCGCGGAGGGGGTCCGAATACTTCCCGGACGTCACCCGGGGTGAGAGGAGAGTTTGTGTATTTGTGGATGTTTGGGGGGAGGACGGGGAAGAGGGGGATGGTGAAGGAGGGGCACGATCACCCGACTCGAGGGGGATGAGGAGGCCTACAGTCGGGGCCCTGAAGAAGGAACCCTTTTCGTTGGGGAGGGGCTCCGTGTTCCTTCAGTGTTTCGCAGCTTGCCTTGGATTGTCCTTAGGTTTCGCTAGGAAATCGAAGTTTCACTCATGGAAAATAGGGGCCTCGTTCCCGATTTAGGGTTCCTTAGGTCAACGCCCCGACTGTAGGGGGGAGGACGCCGTCCGGCGCGTGGGCGGGAAAACAGGCTCAGCACAGCCTGTACTGTAAGGGAGAGGAGGAAGAGGAGGAAGAGGAGGAGGTGGAAGAGGAGGAAGAGGAGGAGGAGGAGGAGGAGGAGGAAGAGGAGGCCCAGGGGGGGGAGGACGGGAAAAAAAAACAGGGACCGGAGGCCACGTCCGGGTGTCCGCGGTCAGCGACGACAGCTCCGAGACGCTCACGCTCCTCGTGGAGGACGCGTTCGCCGGGGCTTCGACTGCCGACCCCCGCCCGCGTTTTGCGTCTGCTCCTGCCTTCACTGTTCGTGCCGATGTTCGTTCCGCCCCTCCGCTGCCCTCCTCTCCTCGCCTGCTCTGTCCCCTGAGATCCGACGCTCCAAAAAAATTGGAGCGGGCAGTTTTTGCCAGTTTTCGGCCTCCGGGGGCCCTCGCCGGGCCTCGGGAGCGTCAAAAAACGACTCAGGACGAAAAACCAGTCCTAGGGAAGTGGTCCAGACCTCCTGGGTCCGCGCACCAAAAAAATTGGAGCAGCCGGATGTCTGGGTTCCTTCCTCCGCTCCGCTTCTCTCCGCTCCTGTCCTGCCCCCTCCCCCTCTCTCTGGTGGTGGTGGTGAAGAAGATGGAGGTGTTCATCACCATCAACGTCATCATCATGGCACCCCCTCCTCGGCGCCCTGCCTCCTCCACCTTTCGGCACACGCCGAGGACACCGGCACGGGCATCCCGCGGGGCAAGATCGACAGCCTGCCTGGGCCCCGGGCTGGCCCCCGATCCACCGGCCTGCCGTCCCGGCTCGTCGTCGTCGTTGCCGTCGTCGTCCTCCTCCTCGTCCCTCGTCTCTTGAGGTTCGAAGTCCGAGGATCGAGGGTCGAGGATCGAGGATCGTCGTCTTGAGGACGACGATCCTCGAGGGAGGAGGACGAGTCGTCCTCCTCCCTCGAGGATCGAGGGTCGAAGATCGAACTGTCGAGGCTTATGGGCGTTTTGTTCCTCGACTTTGGGCTCGCGGAGAGATCCAGTGGGGAACTCCAGGGGCCCTCTGGGACCCTTGGGGATTCCTGGTGAGGCCCGCAGAGGTCTCCGTTGGAATGTCGCCGTCGGGGTCGTCATCGTTGTCGTTCTTGCTTCCGTTCTCCAATGTTCTCGCTCTCGTCGTCCTCGTCCTCGTCATTGTCCTCGTCGTCGTGGTCGTCGTCGCAGGAGGAGGAGAAGGAACAGCAGCGGGAAGAGCATGCAGTTGCAGAGGAGAAGGAGGAGGCGAAGGCAGGGAGAATAGGGCAGGGAGGAGGAGGAGGAGGAGGAGGAGGAGGAGGAGGAGGAGGAGGAGGAGTGAGCATGAAGTGGAGCGGGGACGAGGGCGAGGAGGAGCAGGAACAGGGCCGGGAAGAGGCTGAGGAGGAGAAGGCGTCTGGGGAGGAGGGGGGGAGGGAGGATGTTGTGGACGAGGAGGAGGAGGAGGAGGAGGAGGAGGAGGAGGAGGAGGAGGAGGAGGAGGAGGAGTAGGACCAGTGTAAACCCAAGACTCAGCAACGATACTGCAATAATTCCTCCCTCCAAGTTCCTTCTTCATAGACCCCTTACAACGATTCATTCGACCTGCAGGAAGTTCCCTGTTGCAAGACAACCGTTTCAAACTCCTGAACTGGTCAGGAAGGCCGTTCCTATGGTTCAACGCCGCGAATCACCGCTACTGCTGCGTCTTGGTGATCTTGGATCGTGCCAGAAGACAATTATTGGGATTTCAACACCACGACTCAACGTAACTGTTACGCCCTGACAACCCGACATCGTGCCGCAACACATTTATTGGTACGTTAACTATGAGTATATTTGAAGCTGTTCTAAGCTCTTGAAGCGAAAGAGCGCGGCGCCAAAGTGAGAGTCGCATGTTGAAAGGCACTTCCATGCGTGAAATGTTCGCACGTTTTGAAACAAGGATTCGCGGCGCTAGCGCGAGAGCCGCATTTTGAAAGCGACCCTCCCTCCATCATTGAAACTGCTGCAGAGTTTCAAATGAAATGTGCGCGGCGCAAAGGCGAGAGCCACACTGTGAACACCACCCGCCCTCCACCCGTGCAGCGCATGCACATCCTTGAGACGGATGTGCACGGCGCGAAGGAGAGAGCCACATGTTGAAAACCACCCGCCGCTCACCCGTGCAATTGTTACAACTTCTGAGCGTCATGGCCATCCTTGGTCTGGAAGTCTCAGGCGCAACGGCCAGTCCGCCCTTTTGTCTCGGCCTCGGGGTGCGACAGGGAGGAATTCTTGATCAGGAGAAGACTGGGGTGTGCAAGACGAACAAGATGGGGAGGAGGAAGAGGAGGGAGGAGGAGGAGGAGGAGGAGGAGGAAGAGGAGGAGGAGGAGGAGGAGGGAGAGGAGGAGGAGGAGGAGGAGAGGCGGAGGAGGAGAGAAGAGGAGGAGGCAGGAGAGGAGGAGGACAGGGAGGAGAAGGGAGGAGGAGAATGAAGAGGAGGAGGAGGAGGAGGAGGAGGAGGAGGAAGAGGAGGAGAAGGAGGAGGATCAGGAGGGATAATTCTGGTGACCCGCCGATCGTCGGGAGGCAGCGCGGCAAGTCCTGGCCTCGGTCCGCGGGGCCATCCGTGCACCGTGGATGGAGCAGGGAGGAGGGAGCGTGGGAGAATGTGGAGCATGGAGGAGAGATGGGGTGAGGAGGAGGAGGAGGAGGAGGAGGAGGAGGAGGAGGAGGAGGAGGAGGAGCAGGAGGTAAGAGGAGGGATCAGGGAGCAGTGAGGGATGGAGGAGGTGGGCCCCGTTCCTTCTGTTACCTCTTCCTCCCCTTCCTGGCCTCCCCCCTAGTTCCGACTCCCCGACTCTATCTCCCCGAACCGGAGCAGGCTGGTGGGGTTGGGGTGGGGGAAACAGGAGGGGGATGGGGGTGGGGAGGAGGAGGAGGAGAGGAGGAGAGAGGAGGGAGAGGAGGAGAGAGAAGAAGAGGAGGAGGAGGAGGAGAGGAGGAGGAGGAGGAGTGAGGCGGAAGAGGAGAAGGTGGAGGCGGACGGAGGAGGAGAATAGAGGAAGGAGGAAGGAATACGAGGAGGAGGAGGAGAGGAAGGAGGGAGGAGAGGAAGAGGGGTGACGAGGAAAACGAATAAAACTAAGTTCAAGAGAGGAGGAGAAGGAATAGGAGGACAAGGCTGAGGAGGAGGAGAGGAAGGAGAGGCGAAGAAAAGATGATGAAGATGATGATGATGAAGATGATGATGATGATGATGGAAGATGATGATATGATGATGATACGATGATGATGATGATGATGATGAATGATTGATGAATGATGATGATGAAGATGAGATGATGATATGATGATGATGATGATATGATGAGGAGAGGAGGAGTGAGGGAGGAGGAGGCGGAGGAGGAGGAGGAGGACGAGGAATACGAAGAAGGGAGAGGACGGGTGGAGGAGGAGGAGGCAGGAAGGAGGAGAGGAGGAGGAAGGAGGAGGAGAGGTCTCGGTCGGTCGGCTAGCCGCCCAGTCGGCAGCCGTGCCACCCTCAATGATCCCACCGGCCCTCGGCTCGGTGGCGCGCCCGAGTGAAGTGCGATGGCGGGTCACGGAGGCTCCTCCCCCTCCTCCTCCTCCACCTCCTCCGCCTCCACCCTCTTGGCTCCCTCCCTCCTCCTCCTCCTCCTCCTCCTCCTCCCTCCTCCTCCTCCTCCTCCTCCACCTCCACCTCCTCCCCCCCCTCCACCTCCTCCTCCTCCTCCTCCTCCTCCTCCCTCCTCCTCCTCCTCCTCCACCTCCTCCTCCTCCTCCTCCTCCTCCTCCTCATGCCTCCTCGCTCAGCAGGCATCCGGCCTCCGGCTCCCGAGAAGGGTCGCGGATTGGCGCACCGAGGGGGGGGGTAAGTGATGGAGAGCGCATCCGGGTGTGAAGCACGTGTAGAGCGCGCCCGGGTGTGGGAGGCGCGCGTCCGAGCACAGCGGCGCAGGCACCGTGGAGGATGAGGCACAGGGTGAAGCACAGGAGCGCGAGGAGGCCTGCCCCCTCTCACTTCCCCCCTTCCCTTTCGGCGCGCCGCCGGTCCATCGTCTTGAGAGAATCGAGGCGCTGGATGTCAATCTCCCTGCGGAAACCGAGGTTCTCCGACCTCCAACCTGGTAGGATTCCTCGACCCCGTTTTGATGTCGTTTTCATGTGCGGCCTGCAGGGGCGCCCTGGGGCCATCTGGAACGATTCATGGGCAGGCAGCCGGTCCTCGGGACAGGGTGTAGAGGGGGGTCGTGTGCCGAGCGGGTAGCGCTTTTCGGACGTCTCAGTCCCCAGACTTCCGACGTGCCAGTTGTTCTCAGGACGTAGTCCCTGAGCATCTCGACCCCATCGCCAGAGATGTCTTTCTCATCCCAGCCCGTCCTTGCTTGTCCCAGAGCTCGAAGGCTGTCCCAGATGCGGGAAAGCGTCAGTCGCAACGTTTGTCGGGACTCGGCTCGGGCCTTCAAAATCTCCGCCCGACCAATCTTGGGTTGAGTTCCCTGTCTGATTATTTTAAGACTCTGGGAGGCCAGGCCAGATTAGGCCTGCGTGCGTGAGGCGGGTCGTAGGGTGTGCGAATGAAGTGGACTTTGGCATCTCCTTCGCAAGTGGCCAATGCCTTTGAGCGTGCCCAAGCGAGTTTAGACTGGTCGTTTGGGGTATGGTCGTTCTGGGCATGCCTGAGTGCGTTTAGAGTGGGGTGTTTTCAAAAGACTCGATGGAGGCCCACGTCCAGGGTCGCGTTCTGCCCAGGATTTGGAGGGCATTCCAGCTGTCACCGCGATGGCGGCCGCCCCAAGAGAACCTAGAACGGTCGAGGCCCACCAGCATGCTCATCCCGTCCTCCATCTCGAAGTCTCTAGAGCCCGCGGGGCCTCTCGGGGCCCAAGAGGTGTCCAGCGGTCTCCAGAGCGTCCTCGATCCCTTGATTGTCGATTCCTCGATTCCTCGATTCCTCGATAAAGCGATCCCTCGATTCCTCGACCCTCGAGCCCTGCCCTCGATTCCTCGACAAAGCGATCCCTCGATTCTTCGATCCCTCGATCCCTCGACCCCTCGATCCCTCCGCCCCCCCCTCGACTCAGAGCGCCGATCCCTCGCTGCCGCGATGCCGCCAGCCGCGGGGGGCGGCCCCGTTCCGAGGTTCCGGCCCATCGGCGGGCCGGCGTCCAGCGGGCGGCAGGACCCTCCTCTGGGGGGCGCGCGACGCCGCGGCCGTCGTGGTCGCTGTGGTCGTCGTCGCGGTCGTCGTCGTGATCGTCGTGGTCGGCCGCCGTCCGCTGTCCGTCGTCGTCTTCGTAGGTCGCCGTTCGTTGTCAGTCGTCGGCCGTGGCCTCCCGACTACCCGTCCTCCTCCCGCGCATGTCATGGCCTTTTATGACCCATATTGGGTGTGCACAAGTTGTGGCTGCAGGGGAAAGGAGGGAAATGGCCATCTTCGGGACCTGGCTAAGGAATGCAGATGTGTTCGAGGAGAGAAGCCCACCAAGATGGGGGCTTGGGTCCTCCAGCGTCTGTCTGATGGGAGGCCACTCAATTGAAGTCCTCCCCAGCATAGCGTGCTGACAGAGTCAGATTGGGGTAATCCTTGGGTAATCCTCCTCCTTTGACGGTGCTCGTATATATATATATATATATACACATATATATTTATACACACAAATGTTTTCTTGAACAGAGGACCAACTATGAAATCACCTGAACGCACGTAAGCACGCCTCCTCACATAGTATGTAGTTCACCCAGCATGTGAATACCTGAGCGCGTGTCCGCATACACCTGCGAACCACTTTATGGAATCACCCCTTCATCCCCCTTTCTCCTCGTCCGCCCTTTCCCTCCTCCACCTCCTCGTCTTACCTTCCCCCCTCCTTCCCAGAGCATTTTCTCTACCCTTTCCGCTTCTCCGCAGCGCCGCGCGTCCACGCCTCCTCCCGTCTCCCTCGGCCCACTGCTCTTCTCCCGGCCTCTGCTTCCAGGATGTCTTTCCGCGTGCTCTGCCCACCGCAGGTCTACTCTTCTGTCCACCCCTCACGCGGTTCGTGGCCCCATGGGCAGCTCTGCTCTAGGCCTCCTAGATGGGGTCGGAGTAGATGGGGTCGGAGGATCGCACGGCATGACTGACGCACTGCCGATGCGGCTCGATGTGAAGCCAGATGTCCTCCACGCCGACGTCGCCGACGTCGCGGACGGATCGCCGATGCATCGCCGATGCATCGCCGATGTATCGACGATGCATCGCCGATGTATCGACGATGCGGCGCGATCTTCCGACCCGATCTACCCCGTCCACATCCAGGAGGCCTCTGGAGGCCCCAGTGGCGACAACGTCGTCGCCACTGGATGAGCACGAGCCACCCCTGGCTGGGTCGATCTTGGCCCAGGAGCGGTGCACATGCTGTACACGACTCCCTCGCAAAGCCTGGCGTGCGTACATATTGATAGCGTGTATCGAATTTAAGCCTGTATCCAATGGGTGCGTTTATAGCCCCCACGAGGGGAAGCGGATCTGTCTGCTGGACGAGCATCGTGTGGAACACGCGTCCCTGGGGATCCCTGAATGAGCGCCGAAAGTCATCAGGGTGACTTACAGCACGTTCTGAAATAAATCGTTTCTGGGGGGACAAAAAAGCCTGGCGCGCGTACATCTGATTACACCGACTCTGGGCCCAGGATTGGCTGGCCAGGGGCGGTGGATGTGTACTCATAGGTTCCGTCGCGCTGTGCGTCGCGCGCTCAGTGCGTGAGCGCACGCGCGCAGATTGAGACGGGGAGGTGAGTCGGACGTGGGTCGGACTGGGATACTTCGTTCCAGAGCCTTCGGGCACGCTGTGAGAGCTTTCCGGAGCGCTCTGGCTCTGGACTGGACGCGGCGCCCGATGCATTCTCCAGAGCCGCCGGGTCTCAGAGGTCCCCGACTTGTACCCCGATCCGATCTTGTGTCATGGTCCTGGTCCCAGCTTCGGCTCGAGAGGCGTGGGCAGAGGCGGGGCTGGAACGACGAGCGGCGGCAGCTTTTTGGCCCGAGTCGACCCGATCAACCTGGGGCGGCCCAGGCAGAGAGGCGGAGGAGGAGGGAGGAGGGAGGAGGGAGGAGGAGGAGGAGGAGGAGGAGGGGAGGAGGAGGAGGAGGAGGCCGCCCCCCGCCCGGGAGGCAAGCGGTTCCCGGGGGAGGCCGGCCCCGAGGTCTGCCCCGGCCGTTTACTTAAGCAGGCGGCCGCGGAGGCCCCCGACTCGGGCCAGGGGAGCAGAAAATGGGCCCGAAGAGGGCGGTCGGCAGCAGGGCCGCGCAGAGGCGGGCAGGGGTCCTCCACCCTCCCGCCCCCGCCCTATTCTCAAACGACGCGACGATCGGGACAAAATCGGATCGGGATAACTCGAAATCTCTGAGGGTCGGCGGGTTTGGAGGATGTATTGGGCGCCGCGGCCGCTCCAGAGCGTTCCGGAACGCTCTGAGAGCGCTCCGGAACGCTCTGGAGCGATTCATCCCGATCTTAGCCCTGTTTTAAGCAGGGCCACGCAGAGGCGGGAAGGGGTCCTCCACCCTCCCGCCCCCGCCCTGTTCGGCACGAACGAAATGGTGCGGAAAGAATGGGTACAAATTGTACCGTACAATGCCCAACGGCAGTTCTTGTTCATTTTGACCAGCACTCGTTGTCGGTGTCGCCGCGGCCGGTGTCCGTTTGAGACAGGAGGCCGCCTGCCCAACAGCGGCCGCTGTTGGTTCGCGACAACATTTCTTGATGGGCATTGTGCCCACTGTTTCCGTGCCCATTTCGGGCGTCCAGACCTGTGACCTGCGCCTCCCCCCTCCCACAGGCCGGGGACCCAGGACCCCGACGTCATGATTTTTTTTAACGAAGTCGACCCCCAAAGGTCTCGACCCCTGCCCCGGGACCGGCATTCCATCCCGAGTCGTTTTTGGTGGTCCCAAACGTGGTGGTGAGAACATCCGGTGGTGAGTTTTGGGCGATTCGGGTAATGGTTTTCGAGCGCTGGCTGGCCCAGGAAACGCAAAACCTCGTGGCGACTGCGTGTCCCCAAACCCGGTGGTGACCCAGAATTATTTTTTGGGGGAATCGGGGTCACCACCGGGTGTCTCGCCACCTGGTTTGGAGACCACCAACGTTTTTTCACGGCCCCGAGGCCCAGTGAGGGCCCCCCTGAGGCCAGAAGTACGGAAAAGCCTCCCGTCATGATTGGAGAGGCCTGACGGCCGGTGCCGCCGCGCTGATCGAAAGGGCTAGGAGTGGGAGGAGGAGAAGGAGGAGGAGGAGGAGGAGGAGGAGGAGGAGGATTTTTCCTCCTTGCCCCAGGGGGTCTGGGAGAATCTGCCCCACGGTTGCAGGGCGGGTGCTGAGCCTGGTCCGGCTCTGTTTTGCGTCCTGGCTCGAGGGGGGCGTTCCCTCCTCCTCCTCCTCCTCCTCCTCCTCCTCCTCCT